CCCTTTGGGACTATTAAGGTATGTCTGATCCTGATTCTGATTTGAAGGCTGCCCCCCCACAACCATTACCATTACCGTACTTCATTACAAGCTACCCCCCACCAAACAAACACAAACCCTTCTAGAACCGGTCTAACTCCTGTACATATGCACTTCCCAGTCTTTGGGACTTCTGGGTTTCTATATAAGGTCTGTTTTTTAGGAATTGATCCAACAAGTCTTGGATAATTTTTGTCTTTGGGCAGCCAGAAGATCAGGACATTATTTCTGCATCTTTTGGCTTTGGCAGCATGTTTTTCACCTCCATGTTGTATTCCTCCAGCTCTGCTACCTAATTTTTAAATGTAGACAGCTTGTTGCAAAGTTCCTACTACTGCTAATGATCCCAGCTCTCAGATTTCCATCCTGATCCATTCTCCACCTCACTTTCAGTTTCACTTACGACAAAGATCTTTTCTCTTGCAGACATTCTCAATATTTATTAAAGTTTTGGTATTTTTCTGGCTTTGAAAACCGGTCATCTCAAATTTCATAGAGTTTTATTTCCTTGCTCTGATTGAGAAGTTTATTTCTACCAGTTTATGCAAATTAGAGACTATGCTACTGACCTGTCCACCATATTGATAGAAATCAAAAGTTTCTTTTTTAGCTGGTATCTAAGTCATGACAAATTATTTTTTTTGGTCATTAGGTTTTGGACGTTGCTGGGTTCACCTTCTGGCAGCAAAATTGGCCTAAACATACAGCCAGAGCTTCAATGGAATAGTTCAGAAAAAAAGCAAATGAATGTGACAGAATGGTCTAGTCAAAGTCTAATCTAAAATCAAATTAAGGAACCATTGCAAGATTGGAAAATAGCTTCTCATGGACTCTCTCCATGATCGAGCCTGATGTATTTTTCAAAGTTGGGCTTAATTTCAGTTTTAATATGCACAAAGTTAAAAAATTCATACCCCAAAAGATTTAATTGTAGCAATGTCTGACACAGTTTCAGTAAATATAACTGTATCAAAGTTTGATACAGTTATATTTACTGAAGGTCAATATATGATATATATAAGAATATTGGATTAATTTTGAAAGCATGAAGTTAACACATAGAGTAGGGTTCTAACAATTATCTACAGAGGTTAACTCTACAGAGGGAGTAGAAACTGTGCGCTCTGGAGCAATATTTACTCTTTGAGGAGCAAAGATTAATTTTTATGCAAACAAAACTCAAAGTCAGTTACGGCAGAGTCAAATGGATGAGCCGTTACTGCTTTAACACCAGTTAACTCACTAATTTGGCAGAAAAGTCCTTCTTATTGAAAGAGCTTTTTTTTTGTCAAACTAACGCAGTCTCTAATCTCAAACCCTTTGCAGAATATTTGTGTAAGAAATATGAATAACTGGGAAGATGCACTAAGGTTTATTTTAAGGAAGCCTGTTTTTACAGTAAAAACTGTCTACATGTTAAAAAGCAATAATAGTTGACTATTGTGCCTGACCTTTGTTGGTGACCTCCCAAGCCACTTCGAATAGCAGCAGGTCCTCCACAGGCAGCTCATCTTCCTCCCAGGCTGGAAACAGTCCACTCAGGGACGTCATGGAAAGGGAACGTGACAATGGCATATTGTTGCTTGGGGTGAAATAGAAACCAAAGGGAAATAGTCGGTCGTCTGAAGCATTTAAAAAATGCCGTGTCGCAGGTGTAGGATCTGAGCCCACCAGGATCCGTCCTAAAATGAAGCAGTATAGAAGAGCAGCACAGAGCATGAGGGGAAAGGGCCTCCTACTAAGCCTGGCCTGATGCCAGCAGGAGGGGACGTCCAACCCAAATAATCAGACAAGCAAACATCAGGAACAGAACGTGATCCAGTGGTAGAGAAGGCAGGACGGCCTACAGGACATTAACAGATGAACCCATGATATAAACTGCAAATATTTCCTTCATAGGACATGATCTGTGGGATATTTATGACAGGGGATAATGGCTTAGATGGTACCATCTATACCCACTTATTTTTCAATCAGCATTGCATATACCCACTTCTAAATCCCCCATTATCTGCATTATTAAGCAGAACTTCAAAACCAAATTTCCCAATTTTTACCTGGACAGTGAAGCCATCACCTGCACGACTCTGCTTCTCATTGGCTAGTACTCACTGTTTTTTCTGATTACATTGGTGAACTTTAGGCATGACGACCAGTGAGCTAATCGGAGGCAGAGAGGGGTGGATCATGCTGAGGTTAATATTGCTTACATATAAAATATTTAGAAGTTTACTTATTTATTCGCCTTTATGATTAGCAAAGAATATGTACAGTGAGCTAGTCCGACAACGCTTTCATCTCCTATATACATCATTTTGCCCGCTCTGCCCCCCTATCCCTGCTGGATACGATGCTGTCAGTGAAGAGGAGTAATCAAAATTATTACTCTTACTGTAACTATAACGCAGTTACCATTGCAGACACCCCGTTACTGCGCATTACTCAGGTCGCACAATGAACTTTTTTTCATGATAGGACTCGTGCGCGCCTTGTCATGAGAGAGGGGAGGATGAGAATGGTTGATGTATAGTGAGATTCCGTCTGTCAGTTGGGTAGGTGGCTGTTTCTGCTGGTGGGTGTTATCGTACAGCACACAGAGAGAGAGTGAGGAGGACTCCAGCAGCAAAACAGCGTTTTCCAGATGGAAATACTGGTGTTACGTGGAGCAACGTTTCCCCATCACATACGGTTTCCTCTGCATCTCCGCACAGCGCAGGCGGCAAGATTCACCGCGCAAGCGACAGGAAACGCGCATGCTCGCTAAAGGCGCGCAACAGCCGCCCTGTTCTCACACCACAGGGGAACTATGGAGAGCGTGAACGATCAAATGATAGCCTATATGGAGAAAGAGAGAAATCTGGATGGATGGATGGATGGATGGATGGATGGATGGATGGATGGATGGATGGATGGATGGATGGATGGATG